TATTAATGTTCAATTGTGATTTGTCTCCTTTTCTCAATTATAGGGCAAACCGGTTTCTGCGTTTACGTTTGCATCCTATTCAGACACGGAAACCTTGTGGTTCCTATACCTGCCACCTTCTCACATGGAGACACGCTGAAAAAGCGCAGTGTGATCAGCATAGAAGTGGCCCAATCAGTGAAGACATGATCTCCAGACTCACCTACCGAGTCCAGGCAGTGAGACTCGATCAATATTCAGTGCCTGCCACTTATTTAAAGGGCCACACACACCGAGTACAGATATTATTAATATTATTATTATTGGATCATAGATATTATTCAAAAAATAACAAAAGGATGGTTGAATTTCTGGTGAATTATCACCATAATGCAATCAAACAGTTGAGTTGAAATTGAAATTAATTACAAATACAGTAGATTTGTGAAATCCCCAGTTTTTGCCATTCGTGCATAATTTTTGCTAGTTTATTCCTTCAGTAAAAACAATAACTTCTAAAACTTTATTCTCCCACAACAAAATACAGACAAAACAAACACCAACCAGCAAGGAAAACTCCTCAAAAACCATGGTGGCTTTCTGGCTTCTGGAAACTATCATTCCCCAAGACCTGAAGACAGAGACCAACATCACCTCCATCTTCAGAAGATGTACTGTCTGCAGCAACTGAGGAAACACAGTTTATAAAGCCAGAAACGACAGTGGCAAGGAAAGACTCCTAGAAGGAAGAATAGCTAACCCTAACCAGACCCAAAGGGGGAGCCCGTCCTCCAGGGGGCAGCAGAGGAAGCCCTAACCCTAAACAGACTCAAAGGGGGAGCCCGTCCACCAGGGGGCAGCAGAGGAAGTCGTAACCCTAAACAGACCCAAAGGGGGAGCCCATCCTCCAAGCATTGGCAGAGGAAGTCAAATGAGCAAGATGATGTCCCAATTTTAAGATTTGCCAAACACCTCGACACAGGAGCAGCTTCTTTCCTCATGCCATCACCTTAAGCAGGTGGCGAATATCATCTACTGGGCCACAGCTACTCCTGTCTTTACACCCAGCCTCACACCCACAAATATGGCGTTATACAGTCTCATTCCCATATGTAGTCATCATTATGGCTGTTGACACTTTATGTATATCATCTGTCTTGCATTTAATCTCTATATGACTTGTATATTGTGTATTGTCTGTAAATTACATATTCATTGTCTGTATATTGTCAGTCTATAGTGAGAGACACTAGCGGCTGAAACCAAATTCCTTGTGCTAGTTAAAATACTTAGCCAATAAGTCTGATTCTGATATATCAATTTCAGATTTTCTTGACGCCAGCGCATCCAACATTTTTATAGAACATCGCCATCTTGTGGAAAACAAATCACATGCACCCAATTTCTTAACAATGCAGAATTTGTTTGGGAGTTTTTATTAACAATTTCCCATTACATTAATCGAAAGAAAAAAAAACAGCGCATAAAGAAACATTTTTATTCGTTCCATGTTTAGAACTGAAGGAACATATTTTAGTGTCCCTGCTGGAATCCCGATTCGGATCAAAACAATTCTACTATGACAACAAAACTTACAACACTAAACATTAAACCACAGGTCGTTACAAAAGTTTTCAAATTCTAATTTTACAAACACATACCCATCCATTTTTTGGAACCGCTTATCCTCTCCAGGGTCGCGAGGGGTCCTATCCCGGAGGCTTAATAATAATAATAATAATAATTATTATTATTATTATAATTATAATTATAATAATAATAATGCTGTCCCTCCTGTATGTGTCTGCGTTTGTTGCCGACAAAATGCCCACATGTACTTTGCCATGAAATAAATAATCACGGCCAGTCCATTAAAGCTTCTCATCTTAAGGGCCGCATCTCACGAGACTCGACAGAGAGTAAGCAGTGCCGAGTGCGTGACTATGCAGAGAATTATCAAGACATGGATACGTATTACCATAAGCTCATCTAAATAGGAAAATTACTTTGAGAGCGGATGAAGGGCAGAGAAGAGCAACAACCCATAAAAACAGATTAGGTGCTTCTAATGCGGTCTTTTGATGTTTGGGCTTTCAGGTGAGGCGCCCCAGCAAAGTGTCCGTGGCCCTCCGTCTCCGTATTTTATCGCCTCTGACATAACAGCATAATGTACGTGAGGGTCTGCAGCCGCACCGAACCAAGCTTCCTGAAAGCTTTCACAAGTGGGAATGCATGAAGCCCGAATACAGCCAGCCACCAAACCAAATACTAATGAATATTTCTGTGTAAATAATAAAAAGGTGCCAAACATCGTAAGTCTTTTTTTAAAAAGCACAATCAATCATGCGTTAAAGCTGCTTTACTTCCTAGGCGCAAATAATATTCAATAACGCTGAAGCTTTAAAGCCCTCACCATGGACACGGAATAATGAAGCCGAGCCCACGGATAAGGACTCCCAACGACGGCCAGGCTGCCAGGTAACCGGCGGATGAAAGATAAGCGATTTATATTCATATTGATATTGTAGGTGCTGAATGTGATACGTCAATCGCACGTAAACCGCGTCACAAGGCGTCCAACGGGGTAATATTGGAGACATTTTAAATTCATGAGAGGGGACTGTTTGTCAAATAAACTGAATAAAGACCCACAGCTTATAATAAATGGGTAGCCTAAATGAAACACAATTGCCTCAACTTTGATATTATGGGGAATATTTTTCTCACGTGGTGTTGAGTGGCTCGCCGTGATCGTATAGTGGTTAGTACTTTGCGTTGTGGCCGCAACAACCCCGGTTCGAATCCGGGTCACGGCAAACCTCGCCCACTGAATGGCTGCTTTTAGGGTTGTGTGCGACCTCCGTGCCTGCGATTGGAAGGTTGCTGGTTCCAATCCAGACTGTTGTAGAATACCCGCATCTCCATTGCAAAAACCCCCTCTCATGAAATGCCCCAGTTAAACGGACTTTAGTGCTTTTTAAAACTCTCACTGTAAAAATACCCAGCCTTACCTTCCCTGAGAGCAGGCAGCCAGTGAAAATGTAAGGTCGGAGAATTAGACAACCGAGAAACTAAATTTAGTATCTTGTGTGGTCAGTTTCCTCTCTGATCTCATTTGCAGTGGCTATTCTCTGCCTCATTTTTGAGGATGTTTGAATATATCCATGTACAATTGTATTAATTCATATATTTTTAAACAATCGTGGTTCTGCTTATTAATTATTATATGATAAATACTTTAGCCAGCAAAAGAGAAAGCACAGTTCTTGCACTTTAAATTGTCATTATTTTAAATGCTACAAGGAATATTTTGAAAGCGAAGAGGACCCTTTCTCTGCAGTGGGCTGTCTGCGTGCACAGTGCCGCCCCCTGAGGCCATAATCGCCACCTACTTACCGGGCTTTCCTGCGATTCCGGTTGATCTAAGCAGCACAAACACAGCCTGTCAGGAGGTTTTAATGCATTTCCATCCTTACTGGCAAATGTCACTGGTTTTAGTCAGATACAAGGAAAAGGCTGTATTAAGGACAGAAGAAGCCGTCCGTTTGAAGCAACTTACCGGAAAAAGAAGAGGAGCCAAGAAGATAGAGAGGAAGTAACACACCCGTCCAGATGTACTGAAAAATGCTGTTTACTATAAATGTTTACCTCCATAGAGTTAAAGGTGATGCTGTGCTCTGTGTAAAATAATTTGATGGCTGCTTATATTATCAGTAGCATGGATTGTTGTTGAAATTCACTGTATGGGCAAAAATATATGGACATCAGCTCATCCAGAATCTCACTCTGATAGCAAGGGTATTAATTAATATTCAATTCAGTTAATTTTTATATAGCGCCTTTCACAACAGTCGCCCCAAGGTGCTTTACATGGATATGTACCGGATACATGATGATACGTTAAACATCATTAGAAAGTGATACAGAACGGGAAAAAAGAAGGAAAGAAAGTAAATAAAGAAAGCCAGATGACAACGGAGAAGAGGAACCAAAAATTCCCAAGTAAGGAGAAAAAAACCCTCTGGGGGTCCAATGTCACCTGGCTACCCAACCCCCCCTGGGCACTAACATTACTGAGAACAGAAAAGAGTGGACATACCTGCTAAAAGGGAGGTATATGCTGGGATTAAGAATGAAGACAAAGTCCATCATGTTGGCCTCTGAAAGGTGGCCAAGGTCTCCACGTTGGGCTGTGCTGGGTGGCACTGAAGGCTGCACGCCTGCACCCACAATGATACAGTTCATAAGTCCCATTTGTGATGTCACCCCTCCATGGGACTGAACCAGGACTCCAGCTCAGATGGTGCCCACCCTGGGCACCACCCAGACATGTGGGAAGGCAGAGAGCACGGATGGTCAGAACATGCAGACACTTTAATGGACAAGCCTAATAGATAAAAATGGCATGCACAGGAGTACCAACAGCCAGAGTTATGGTGTGTTAGGTTGCGGGTAATAAGCTAAACTGAAGTAATAGGGCTTCAGTCGAGATTTAAAGATATTTTAATATGAAGCGTCTACTCTTCTGCTAAGGCTACACATTAGACGTCGGCACACATTGCTGGTGGGGTTTGCAGCCATTCAGGTGGGGTATTGAGGTTGGGTCATCAGGTCCCTTTCTGTGAACTTGAGTGGTTGCCACTTTGCAGCTGAACTTGCTCCCAGATGTTTTGATCTTCACAGTCACTTTACTTACGGTTTGCCAGGGCAGATCTAACAAGACAGAAATGTGGGGAAGGAACTTGTTGGGAAAATGGTGTGGCTTAAATAGGCAATTCCTCCAGTTACTGGGGCTGTCCAGTAACTTCTGGCCATGCAGTGTAACTGGTGGATTACTGGGAGATGGAGCAATGAAGTTACCATGGTGCGTATACGATGGCATGCATGTTTGTGGGACCTAAATAAACAGCTCCTTCAGACACCTGCTCCAATCCTGACCGCATTTTTTGCACATTATTGACAGAGACGTGCAATGCATGCAAATGCGTCATAAAACAAAAACTGTATTACAAACCACTGAGTGTTTGAAAAATAATTTATTTGCAAAATAAGCACACTTTAATCATAAATCTAATGCCTTTGTGCATGCAGGCTATTTACAAATCCTGCTCGCCTAATACACAGAATGAGAACGAGTAAACACACACTGCCTGGAACTAAAACCCTCCAGGTAAATGACACTGGCATTATGAAAACTTTTCATCTGAAATATACATACCAGTCAACCAGTTCTCCTAGATATCAGTGGTATTTTATTGTATCTGTGTCATATAATATTCATGTCTAACAGCAGTATAAAGTAAGAAATTAAATAATAAACACAAGACATTCGATTACACTGACAAGCTGTAATATTGAAGGAAAAGCTTTACCTGATTAAATTAACACAAACTGCTCATACAGGCCTACAACCGAACGGTTTGTAATAACAGCGATTCCCCTGCGGGATTACGGAGATCTTGGAGTCGTATCAGAAATCTCAGATAATCCGTGTTTCAGATGCTTAAGGAAACCGAAGAGCGATAAGTACCCCGCGAAATCACACAGCTGGAGACACGAGACCGCCCCCGCAGGCATAACGCTCTGCCGTGGTTCCTAATCTTGGGAATAAATACCACACCTTGATGGGACGGATCCTAACGTGTACCTACTCTTTATTTGACAGTCACACTGACATCTTCAGAAAAATCCATTAAAAGTTACTTTAATTTTAAATAATGGAAACGATGTTTTTAACACAAGCAATTTATTCACAAATACATACTCACGTGAAAAAATAACTCAATTGTGAAACTATGTGACTTCTTTCGACCACGTTATATTTATCCTGAGAAAGATCGTTAATTCGCCACAACGTTCACAAACAGCCCGTTAAGAACTCGTATTTTGAACAATGAAACCCAACAAAAAAATGCGAAATATGCAATTATAGGCGTTCTTCAGAGAATCGCCATAGGCCGTCAGAGGATCGGCATCAGTCTGTTTGTGTGCCGCTCCTTTGCCAGAAGATGGCAGCACTAAACACAAACCGCATTCGAGTATGCTGTAGAAACACAAGGTCCACTGACATTTAAAGGACTACTGATCTGAGTTCGGCTGGTAATCGTTTTTCATAAGTCAAATATGTAGCATTTTCTGGCACTTGGAGAACATTGAAACGACGGCTACTGATAAACTGATATTTCAAATATTCTGTAGTTTTATTAATGACGGTAAAAATCATTCAGTTATAAGTCAGAACTGGCGAGCATGACAATTTCCATGTTGCAAATTGATTATGAGATGCGATTCCAAGGGATTCAGCAAGAATAGAAAATAAAATGTACCAAAATCTAATCCAAATAAGAAATTCATAAATACCACCTTAATCTCTTTTTTATCACATAATTACACTCTATTACCTATGAGTAGAACTATGCTCTAAAAAACAAAAAATATAGAGAAGAAAACGGTCGCTGGCCCTTCTGACCTATAATTAGTAGAGCCTACAGTAATGGATAACAGCCATGAGCACCACTGACATTAATGAGCAAGAACAGCAGGCCTGGAGGGGGGGGAAACTGCCTTTCGGGGGGGGGCTGCTGTCAGACATTCCTTGTCTAATTCACTTAATTCTCCCTTAAGGTGCAGAAAATTTGTTCTTCTTTGTCCACAGTTTACAAGAATCCCTTGATTAGTATTACAGTATGATGCCCTGTGATTCCCTTTGGTCCAGTCCAGCATGCACACACACATGCTCCCGCGTGTGGCAGCTCAGCCAGCACAGCGCCCTCTTCCTGACGGAGGTCCACATGTGCCACGCCTCAGCCTGTGTGTGCAATGTGCTGCAGCCCAGCCCACGGGGCAGCTGCAGAGTCCCTCCGTGTGGTGGGAGGGGGCGGGGCTCTCTGAAGCCACACCCACCCCTCAGCCCGTCGTCAGCTCTGAAGTGGGGGGCTCCAGGGTTTCTGCCAGCTCTTCCAGCTGGTCCAGGAGCTCTGTGAAGGACGGCCTTCGGAACGCCTCCATCTGTCCCATGGGGGTGGAGTCATTGTTACCACCATCATCACTGATGATATTATTATTATCATTATTATTAGTAGTAGTAGTAGTAGTAGTAGTAGTAGTAGTAGTAGTAGTATTTGTATCTATATCTGCCTTTTAATCCAAAGGAAAGTTGATACATTTAAGTAAAAACAATGTTACTTTGTTATTTAAACTGCTCCTGTGAGAAAATGGCAGCAACGGTATAATAATAATAATAATAATTATTATTGATTATTATCATCATCATGTCATCAATTCATAAATGTATTATCTATCCATTTATCCATAAATTTCTATGCATAGCAGGGGAACAGTATTGTTGTTATAATACTACCAACATTATTATTCGTATTATTATTAATAATAATATGATTATTATTATTGTTGTTGTTGCGCAGGTCACCCTCTTAATGGTACAACAGCAGCCCCCTATGGGATTACCATGTTTTCAGGTTGAGCGTCAGAGGTGGGGCGTAATAGTCAGCATTGCTCCCCAGGGCAGACAGCGGTCACTCACCAGACAGCAGCTGGCTGCCAGCTCCAGCACGCGTTGTGGGCAGCCGACCACCATGTCCCGGAAAGCGTTCACATCCAGCCCGTAATCCTGCCAGCAACCAGCAGGGGTCTCAGCACCAAAGGCACACAATGGCTTTACCCTTAGCATGGCGCTAAGGCTAACCACTCACACGTTAGGCTACGCGGTTAATCCTACCTAAATGCATTTGTTAATTGCTATTGTGTGTTATTCAAATAAAACATTTACAATTAAGAATGTGTCAAATGTGTGAATGTACCAGCAATGTTATATTTTAACCTTGCTTCAACATGATTATAATAAAATGCATGAATTTACTTTTGCAAACGCTTTGATACTACGCTAGCTGCCAGTTGGAGCAGCCTGATGTATTTACAGAGTCGCAGGACACCTCGCTTAGCAACTTCTAGTTTCCGCATCATAGGGTAAATAAAATGCTCTTTTTCCTGGGTTGCAATATTTTTCTCTCTTATAGTTACAAGTGCATCATCAAGAGATTATATCTACAAGAGTACCTTAAGAAATTACTGGAAACCTTTTCTATATGGATTTAAATACCAAAGAGCTCTGTAAATGTACTGGGGGTGTGACAGGAGAAAAGCTACTGGCAATGTGTTTGGAAAGAATTTAATTTCCTAGACATTTTATTTTTTTATCTGGATGTCCATTAATGCTTTCGTTTACATTAAGTACATGAAGGTGGTCTGTGAGAGATATTTACGTCAGTTAGCAGGACACATCGATCTGTATAACTGCGGATTAAATGAATAATACAATATTCACAGATTGAAATATGTTCACAACAACCTCTGAGTCACACTGCCATAGTCATCTGAACATCACCACACACTTAGATCAGCAGCAGAACATGCAAGAAGCCGGACTGCAGGACCACATCCAACAGCCAGTAGTGTCAGGACTCGTGTTCTGGCACCAGCACCGAACTGGGCCAGTGAGCCTTTTTTCATGGTTCATTGTGGAAGGTAAAGTTCTACCTGCGTCCTGGGAAGAATTTCCGGATCTGCTGGAATTCTGCCCAGAATTTCACACAGTACAATTCCGAAGGAGAAGACGTCCACCTGAGGGCAACATGAGTGGGGATCAAATTAAGCTGAAGGTGCTTTTGCTCAGCAGTGGGATTTTATTGCCTCCAAAAAGTCACACCTCTGCTTTCTACTTCCACCTGGTGGTGGAGTGATTGTACAACAATGATCAGAACAAACATGCCTGCTCTTCTGTTCTGTTACTGCTCTTCTTGTATTAGTATTATGAAGTCTAATTACTTAAATTGCACACGTAATCATTTACAAATAAACTTGCAGAATACCCGTGCATATTAAGTACAAATTTCTTGACACTGTCTTCGCTCCCAGAATATCACCACCTACAACAGGAATTTTAATTAGCTAACATTTGCATTATTCATGAGACCAGTGAAAACTAATGTGTAGCTCTTTGCAATGGCCAAGTAAGCGGATGCATGTAAATGCGCTTGTTCGCAAAGAAACACACATTTATGGGGTCTACTTTTTACACTTTTTTGTGGGTTCAAAAAATAAAGTTGGATAATTTACAGAGCAATTAGTGCTAACCGGCCAGCTCCCATGGAGGCAGATCACATTTAGAAAGGGTGTCATTGCTGAGTTGGTTCAGCACGGAACGCTTTAGACGGCGTGGTTAGCGGCGGTCTTAGTGAGGTCTCAGTCACACGCTACCTTACGGTCATACGGTTCCCCTCTCAGCATCTCAGGCGCCATCCAGAAGGCGGAGCCCACCAGGGACAATTTTCTCTCGATGTCCGTAGCAGGGAGCTCCACCACCTCCCTGGCCAGTCCGAAGTCTGTCACCACAGCCTCCCTGCCCCGTGCCGTGAGCCTGATCAGGCAGTTCTGTGGGCCAGACACAGAGGAGACGGTCACGTGTGCTGCGTGCCAGAGCCGCTCGGATTTTCAGCATCTCCTCCTACATGTCTGTGTCACACATCAACCCTGCCTGAGACCGATAACTGCAGCCAGCCGTGCAAGGGGCTGACTCTGGCACGCCTTCACCTTGCGAACGCTAACATATTTGATAATTAGCCTTTCGATATGCGGCTAGAAACTCGAGCACAGATGCCTCGCCTCGTTGGCGTCGCATTTTAATCACGTTCCGTATCTGACACTTCCAGCCAGTCCCGTGATTACACCAATTGCCCAGCAGAGAGCAGTATAACCTAACCAGGTACAAAGAGCAACATTTTTTCTAGATTGCCTTGGAGCATTTCTCAAATGGACATTTGCAAAACAAGTGTAATCCCCACACCACAGTGTCACTTCTGCACAGCAAAATATTATTTGTCATGGTTTCACAAAAATTTCCCAGTATTCTGGTACATGTCCGCAAATATACACTGTATACAGTATATATAATAATATAATATATAATAGGAGTGAAAAAAGTTCTTCTGTGCGGGCCATAGAGGTCCAGTGAAGCTGTGTTTCAGGAGGTTTTAATGCACTATGCTGCACGGAAATGCATGAGAAGAAAGTCGCGTCGAACAATCTACAATAAATAGCTGATTCTGAACGAGCTCGTCATGAAGCTGAACGCGGTCTAGCGCACTTTTATTAAAACCAATATAAATACGACAGTGTATATATGAGCATTTATTTTATGACATACTAGAGGAAGTCTTACAGCAGTCGCCACTGGTGTGTGTGTGTGTGTGTGTGTGCGTGTGTATGTGTGTGATGTCATGCCACCACAACAAAAGTTAACCAAGCTTTCAAAATATTTAAAATTATATTCCATAAACTTAAGTGATACAGCACTGTTGTGTTTTTGGTTCCCACAGTACCTGATTTTGTTGCCATTTTGTTGTTCTTGTATTGCCATTTTGCTGTTTTTGTGCTATACTGTGCTGTGTGACGTTTTGGTTTGCTATTCTACTGTGTCTTGAGATCTGAAGAAGTTACATGTGCATGCCAGTGCTTTCTGTTGCCAGTGAACTTTACATACTGTAATGTGGAGCCTTGCAGTGTTGAAACGGGTGTCTGACATCAATAAGTGAATATCAGTTTGCTATAGAATGATCAGCCAGTAACAATGAGAAAGTGGGAACCGACTATCATTCTGAACTGTGAAGCTCAGGAGCATATTAACATGGACACAATATATCTAAGCACTTTGGCTCTCATGGTTAAAGCAATGCTGATTGTACTTTTCATTTTGGTGGTGCTGACTAATTCATTGATGGAATTATTTGCTTTTGAGACATGAATTAATTGTTTTGGGTATGTTACAGGCTTTAATCCATAGTGTTGTGCTATATGCATTAACTATTTAGAGAAATGCTCTTATGGTCTTGAGAATGTTAAGTATGTTTCATGAAATGTGCCAGAGCGATCAAGCAAATCTATAAAGCAGTTAATAACAGATAATATGATGATGCTGTTGCACAAACTCACAAAGTATTGTAGCTTTTACTATAATATTGCACCGTCATACATTTGTTTGTATGAATTGTGTCATTAATGTCAAAATAATTTTGAATCTTTTCCATGTAATGGGTGACGTTTAAGAACAGATAATGGAAAATTAATGAAAATGAATCCCATTTTATGTAGTGAAACTCTGAGTCACGTGGCCCGCTGACTGTATCCCGCCTCCGCCCGCCCCGGGTCACGCTGCCGTACAGCCGTGCACTCAGCCTCTTCCACCCCCACAGCCGCTCTTGCACAGCCTGGAATGTTTGCTGCCTGGGTACCGCGGTGCCACCAGACGGAGCTGACTTTGTAGGTTGAGCGGCCGCACAGAACAAAAACAAATTCCGTAAGGTTATGAAGCTCTCCACCTCTCCGGGCTCCCCATCAGGAGCGCTAAAGCTGGGTCTGAGACGAACTTGTGCCAGAGAAAAGCAACAGGGAAGCTCCCCACGTTCAGCACGGGGATGAGGGCACGATGGCTGCCTGGACCTCTGCGGGATGGCTAGCCTGCAGGACGCAGTGACAGCACACCAGCCCGGCTAGCCTGCAGGACGCAGTGACAGCACACCAGCCCGGCTAGCCTGCAGGACGCAGTGACAGCACACCAGCCCGGCTAGCCTGCAGGACGCAGTGACAGCACACCAGCCCGGCTAGCCTGCAGGAC